ATGGTAGTAGTAGTGGTGGCAGTAGTAGTAGTAGTAGTAGTAGTAGTAGTAGTAGTAGTAGTAGTAGTAGTAGTAGTAGTAGTAGTAGTAGTAGTAGTAGCAATAGTGGTAGTAGTAGTAGTAGTAGTAGTAGTAGTAGTAGTAGTAGTAGTAGTGGTGGTGGTGGTGGTGGTGGTGGTGGTGGTGGTGGTTGTGGTCATAGGAGTAGTAGCAGTAGTAGTAGTCGTAGTAGTCGTAGTAGTTGTAGTAGCAGTAGTAGTAGTAGTAGTAGTAGTAGTAGTAGTAGTAGTAGTAGTAGTAGTAGTAGGAGTAGTAGGAGTAGTAGTAGGAGTAGTAGTAGGAGTAGTAGTAGTAGTAGTAGTAGTAGTAGTAGTAGTAGTAGTTGTTGTTGTTGTTGTTGCAGCCGTAGCAGGGGTCGCACCTTCTTTATGGTCAGGAGCTCCCAGTGTTCCGTGGCGGGTATTGTGTGACCCCCCAGTGCAGGTATATAGAACAGAAATACAAACGAATCTTATTTCACACATTACCTATGGCCAGCGCCCTTCTTGACGTGTAAGATTGACTGACGTGCCTCGGCCGTCTCGGATCAGCGCCCGCGCGGTCCGTGACCTCCCTTCTCGCGAGGGCGCTGCATGCAGCGCGGGGGCCCCCTCGAGCGCGATGCTGCCGCGCGCGGCGGGGGCTCGCCGGGCTGGCGGCGGCGGCTGCTGGGCGAGTCGCCTCGGCGGCGCTCCGCCGCTGCGGTCGCGAGCGCGGCCGTGCCTGCGCCGGGCTTTGGAGGCGCTGGCTCCTGCGTGCAGCAGCGCGTGGAGATCCACGTGCACGTGGCGAGCGGCGCGGGCGCCGCCCTGGCTGGCCGGGCCGCCGCGCAGCTCGCGGCCGCGACCCTGCATGGGCTGCACCCCTTGCGGGGCCGGCGCTGCGCCGGCCAGTGAGGCGCCGGCGCCGAGCGCCACCGCGCCAGCGCCGCGGTGGAGGCCCGCTGCCGCCATGGCGGACCCGCCGGGAGGCAAGTGCGCCGAGGCTTGGGCCTGCGCAGTGTGGCGCTATCCGCTGCGGCCGGAGTTGCGGGGCGCGCGCTGCGGCGGTGGCGAGGCGTGGAGTGCGCTGGCGGCGACGTTGCCGGGCGTGCGCTACATTTTTGCGTCGGGTGCTCGGCTTCGAAGGTTCGCGAGCGAGCAGAGCGCCGTGGTGGGCTACGAGGCGGAGGCGCTCAAGCACGAGGCGCCGCTGCCCGCGCCTCGCTTCGATTGCCTGCGGCCGCGCCAGCCCCGAGCGCCATGCCCCTCGGAGTGCCGGGGGGGGCGGAGGCCGCTGGCGCGGAGGAGTTCGAGTGGGAGCTGCGAGTGGCCGAGCTGACGGACGACTACCAGCCGCTGCAGGTGGACGTTTCCGTGGTGCACCAGGGCCTGGCCTCGGACGGTGGCGGGATCATGGTGCCCATCGCGCCGATCAACAAGGCGCGCGGGGTGCCGACGCTGGCGCTGCACCAGATGTCTGCCCCTGGCTGAGCCCGCACTTCGCGACGTTGGGCGACCAGGCGTCGCTGCTGCCCTCTGGCGATGGCCAGCTGGCCACGGTCGCCTTCGTGAGGGCCAACGCGGAGGGCGGCAGCTGGCTGGGGCCGGCCTCGGGGAGCAGCCGCTGGGCGGGGGGCGGGCGCTGGCCAGCAGCGCGAGCGCTGGTGCAGCTGGCCGCGGCCCTGCCCGCCGCGGTGCTCGAGGCCGACATCGACCCCGAGCGGGGCTGCAGCTGCGCGCTGGCTCCCGCCGCCCACGCCCTCAGCCCCGAGGACCTCGACACGGTGCTCGGCGGCGCGTTGGGCGCGGGGCCGCGCGCGGCGCAGGCTGCTCAGCGCGCGGTGGCCGCTCCCCGAGCCCGAGCCAGGCGGCGAGGGCCAGGTCGTGGGGGTCGACGGCCAGCTCCTCCCAGGCAGCAGCACTCCTCTGGGAGGTGGCGCCGCCGCGGCTGCGGCGCGCTGGGGGCCTGAGGGCACCCCCGCTGGCCACGTGGTTGGGGGTCGCCGACGCGCGGGTCGCCCGCTTGCAGGGGCCCGCTGCCGCCGCCGCCAGGGCTGCCATGCTGGCCGCCAAGAGTGCGGCTCACGGCTCTGCGCGCCAGCGGGCGCCACGCAGCTGCATGAGTAGCCCGGGAGATGACGAGGAGAGCCGTGTCGAGAACAGGCGGAGCGCCCCGCGACAGAGGCAGCCCGCTGGAGCGGGCAGGGCTACGGTCGCGACGCCGGCAGCGATGCTGGAGAGGCTCGAGAGCTCCAACCAGGACGTGCTGAGGCGCATGGTGGCACTGGGGACCTCGGGCGCTCCTGCTCGCGCGGCTGCGCGGCCGGGCGGCGCGGGTGCGGCGCCCGCCGAGGCCGGCGCTGCCGGCTCGCTGGCGGCCGCCCCCCCTTGGCCAGGGCAGGGGCCGCGCGCCGCCGCCCCCGCCCACCCGCAGGTGCTGGGTGCGCCGCAGGCGGGCGGAGCGGATCAGGCCGCCGTGGCTTGGGCTTTGGGCGGCGCGGGGCCGCCTCGGCTCGCGCGTTTCGGCCAGGCAGTGGGCGCAGCTGGCGCCCGCCCCGCCGCGACTGCGGCCGCCCCGCTGCGCTTTGGGCCGTCGGCAGCCGCAGCCGCTGCGCTGGGGCGCGCGGCGCCGCTCGATGCGATGCAGGTGGCGCAGGCTCGGGCCAACTTCGCGCGGCGCCATGGCGTGCAGCTGGCGGACGGCGTGCGCCGGTCCCCCGAGGGCATCGCGGCCTGGTGCCAAGCCAACGCCGCCGCGCCCGCCGCGGCGCCGGTTCCCCCCGCCGCAGCGCCGCCTCCAGCCGGCGCGACGCCTGGCAAGCTGGCCGCGCACTGCTGCGCAGGGACCTCCTGGCGAGGCCAGCCGCCTGGTCAGCTATCATCAGGGCCAACGCCGAGCAGGCGCTGGCGGGGGCGAACGACGACCCCGACCCGCGCGCGCGCAGCCTGGTGGAATTCGTGGCGCGGACGGGCGCGATCAATCGCGGCGACAGGACGGCGGCCAACATGGGGTTCGGGCTGGCGCGGGTGGCCGACCTGATGGCGCGGGGCCAGCGCGAGATGGCCGAGGCCGTGATCCTGCTGCTGACGGCGCTCGAGTAGGCGCAGAGGGGCAACGGGAGGTGGCAGCTCGCCTTGCTCCTCGCGCGCCTGCCAGAGCCCCTCTGGACGCAGATGGCCGCGGGCGCCAGCGGGTCTGTGGGCTGCCTGCGCCCGTTCGCTCACCTTGCCGAGCCCGCGTGGACCACGGCTGCCATGGGCTACGCGAAGGACGCCGCCTCGCTGGCCGAGATCCGTCGGACGTTCAACGACGACCGCGGCAACGCCGCCCGCCCCAAGAAGGACGAGGAGGAGCAGCGGCCGCCCCAAAGCCCGAAGAAGGGGGCCGGCGCCGGCCACGGCAAGGAGGAGGCGGGGCAAGTGGTGCGGGCTTGCTGCCGGACCTCGAGGCGGGGGTCCCGCGGGCGCAGATCGGCGTCGTGCGCCGCCTCCTGCAGGCCGGGGCCAGTTTTGTTTTTTATTTGTATTCATGCATGACTTTCTCTGGTTCCTCGTCGGATTCCCCGACGCGTACTTGCTTGAAGTTGTTCCCGGTGGCGCCTCCGTTCCCTTGGGACATCGGCGCCCCTCCGTGCGCCAGCCCGCGGTGCAGAGCGCGCTGGGGGCTGTTGCAGATCGCCGAGCTCCAGGTGAACTTGATGGTGGTCGCTTGCTCGTTTCTAGCGCTGGGCTCTACTCGCTGGTGTCCAGCCTCGTGCAGGACGGGGATGGGCCTGACTGATCTGCAGCGTGACAGGCTGCCGCATCTACTGGCCCTGGCCAAGCAGTGGAACCGCGCGCCCTACCACGTGAGCGGCCGCGGCGAGATGACGTGACAGGGGCTTTTCGAATTTGGTTTGCAACTGCGCGGAGCAGCACCAGGGCAACGGGTGCCTGCCCCGCCTCCTCTCGCGGTGTCGCCCTTCGTTGCGAGCCGCGCGACCTTCTGCAAGCAGGAGGCGCGCTTCGTCCCGGTCTACCACCTGCCCGTTTTCGAGGCGGCGGCATACCTGGACCCCGGCCTGATCGAGAGGGGCCAACCGCTGGGCCATGGCCTGAACCCCATGTGGCAAGCGGGCAGCTCATCCGAGATCGTGGCTTTCGCATCGGATCTGGACCGCTCTCGGAAGTTATATCTGGCCAGCCCTGATGAGGTGAACTTGAAGCAAGCGTGCAAATTGATCCCAGTGCTCCGTGAACAGCATCGCGACCGCATAGTCTGGGACAGGCGCACCAGGAACGCCGCGGAGCACGCCCTGCAGTCGGGCAGCCAGCGGCTGGTGCCTGGCCACGCGCTGTGCGAGTACGAGCTGCAGGACGACGCTGAGCCCGTCCTTTTCGCTGAAGACGTGTCGGACTTCTACCCGGCGTTTGACGCCCCGCCTGCGAGGGCTCGCACCGACGTGCTGGCACGTAATGTGCAGACGCACTTGCTGCAGCACGCGCGGGCCTACGCCAACAGGCGCGCCGAGCTGGGCGAGCGCTGCGTGGTCTGCGTGGCGAGCTTGCGGATGGGCGACTTGAGCGCGATCGACTTCGCGCTGGGCGCGCGAGAGGCGGTGCTGCAGGCGGGTGGCTCGCTGGCGGACGTGGTCCGAGTGCAGCATCATCGCCATTTCCCTCGCGGTCCCCTTGCTGAGCTGCTGCAGATCGACGACCGCGTCGGCTTGGGGCAGCGGGCGCGAGGCTCGCGTCGACTGCCGCTGTCGCTGGTGCACTCCTTCGCGGGCGCGAGGGAGCAGTGCGACAAGGTGGGCCTGCGGGTGGCGGGCGACAAGTCCGTGGCGGGCGCCTCGGCAGGTTTCGCGCTGGGCGCCGAGCTGGTGCCCTCGGGCCATATCGGGGCTGAAGGGCTACGGCGCGCTGGTCTGATTCTGCTGTCCTGTGGCATCGCGGCGCACGGCATCGCGACTTGGAACCCTGCTCAGAAGGACGGTGGCTAGCTGGGTGCACGTCGTGGGTTTTCGGCGTCCTGCCATGTGCCTGCTGGGCGAGGTATTCCGCGCGCTGCCCGAGGTGCCGCGCGACGACGACGTCTTCGGGCTGGGCACAGGGGCGAGGCAGGAGCTGATGCTGCTTGCCATGCTCGCTCCCGCGCTGGCTACCAACCTCAAGGCGAAGGTCTCGTCCAGGGAGGTGCGCAGCGACGCTTCGCACCTGAACATGGCGGCCGTGGTGGCCGATGTGGAGCAGCCCATCGTGCGCGAGATCTGCCGCCATCGTGACCAGCGAGGTTGGTTCACTCGGCTGAGCTGCAAGGAGCTAGCGTACATCCGTGCCCACGAGTGCCTCGAGGACAGGGCCTGGCTGCAGGACATCGATGAGGAGCTGCGCCCTGTCACGAAGGTACCGCGCTGGCACCTGCGGGAGGTGTTCGACGCCTTGGGTGTCTGCAGCGGGCGGGGCGTGCCGTGGTCAGGGCTCATGTAGCTGCGGGCTTGAGAGTGGGGCCGAGGATCGACCCCGAGACTCATCCGCGTTGGGACTTGTGCTTCGTCAGGATCATCGAGTGGATACTCTTCCTGATCGTGAACGAGCGGGTTGCCTACGTCCGCTGTGCCCCGCTGTGTGCGACCTTCTCTTTGGCCAGGCAGCCTCGCCTTCGCTCGAGAACGCAGCCTTTGGGGTTCGACACCTCGGATGAGGTCACCAGGTTGGGCAATGTTCTGCTGTTCAGGGTGCCGCTGATACTCTGGGCGGCGCGCAAGTACGGCGCGCGCGAGTCGTTCGAGCACCCGGCTGGGGCTTGCATTTCGGCAAGTGCCCGCGGTGCAGGCGCTGGTCGGCAAGTGCGACTGCGGCGCGTTGGCGTTCGCAGCCTGCTCGTTCGGGGCTCCCTTTCAGAAGTCGGCGAGGCTGGGACTGGTGCCCGCCGACTTCCTGCGGCCTTTGGCGCGGCCGTGCGCGCGTGGGCGCAGGGCCCGCAGCCGCCCGCTGCTGGGCGCCGCGCGCACAGCGCCCGCCGCTGCCTACCCCGCGCAGCTGTGCCGTGGGCGGAGCTCACGACAGCGCGCCTGGAGGCGGCGGGCGCGGCGCCCGAGCCCAGCGCTACTCCGGCCAACTCCGCGGGTCGCCTGGGGCAGCCTTTCGTCAACGACCTGATCCGCTGCTGCCGGTGGCGTGCCTTTGGCTGCGATCCGTGCCCGCCCGCGGTGCGCATCAACAAGCTGGAGGCGCGGGCGCGCCCGAGGGCAAGGGCGAAGGCGGCCAGGCATGAGCCCGGCACCAGGCAGCGGTTCTTGCTGGACTCCGCGGCGGCGCTGGGACCGTGTGCCAAGGGGCGTTCCGCCTCGCGCGCGCTCAATGACGAGCTGAAGCTGGGGCTGCCCGACGCGCTAGCTTTCGACGTGTACCCGGGTTGCACCTTCGCGCCCGCGCGCATGTTTCCCGCTGATGGGCCTTCGCGAGGTCGAACGGTCGCCCCGCCATCTGCTGATCCGCCGGCCTGGTGGGCCGCAGCAGGCGCTGGAGATCTCGCGGGGTAGGGCCAGTGGACGCGCGTGCCGAGACAACGGCGCTGAATTGGAGTGGTGCCGAATGACAGTGAGGCTGGTGCGCCCGTGGTAGCTGAAGGACTTCGACAGCGCCCTCGGTTTTCCAGGGGGGGGGCCCTGCCGCAGCGCATGTTCGAGACGATCAACCCGAGCGCTCATGATGATGCTCGGCCTGGTGGTTTGCTGGCTGGTGGATGGAGCTCGCGTGGCAGGCGAGGCCCCAACAGCGCGCCCGGCTGTGGATCTTCGCACGAGGCCGCAGACGACCACCCGGACCGCACAAATGAGGCAGCTACTGTTGTAGCAGTTCAAGACCTGGCTGCTGAAGTTGGATGGTGGCTGCGAGCTGGCAGCGCTGGTGGTGCAGGTGCCGCGGGTTGGTGGCGCTTGCGCTCAGCTGGGGCTGGATCGACACGGCCGTCCTGATCTTCCTGGCCTTCACCTGCATGCTGCGGCCTGGAGAGGCGCGTGGCTTGTGTTTCTCGGACCTGCTGCTGCCGTCGCAGCTGATGTCGGATGACGAGGTGTGCTACGTGCGAGTCCTCCAGCCCAAGGCCCGCTGGGCTGTGGCGCGGGCGGAGCACGCCAGATGTGATGAGGTGATCTTAGTCAGGTTGTTGGAGCGTTTGGCTGCGGGCCAGCCGCGAGGGCAGCGGATCTTCAAGGGCACCTACCCGCATTTTCGCCGCTGCCATGATGAACTCGTGCAGTTTTTCGGCATCGCGGCCACAGGGGCCCATGGCCTCACGCCGGCCTCGCACCTCGGGGGCGGCGCCATTTTCTTTTTCCAGAGGTGCGAGGACTTGCCTCGCACCCAGTGGCGTCGGCGGTGGAGGCAGGTCAAGTCCATGGAAATTTGCACCCAGGAGGTGGCCGCGGTGGCGTCCGTGCCGAACATGGCGCAGGCCTCGCGAGAGCTCGTGGCGAGCTTCGCCGCTGCGCTGCCTGGCCTGCTCGCTCGCGCCATCGACTGGCTCGAGCGTGGCAGAACCTGAGTGCTTGTCATTGTTGCCTCTCCTCACGGCCCAGGTGCGCGCGCATGTGCCATGACTCGTTTTTGTGTTTTTGGGAGGTGTGTGTCTGGAAGCCAGCCTGTGCGCGTGTGCAGTATAATCGTCTTGCTTCATGCGCGCGCGCGTGCGGTTTCCGCCATTGCCATGGCATTCTGAGTGCCGGAGGACATCTTTGCTGGGGGGAGTTCCAGCTCGACTTGTAAGCTTGAATGACGTGAGCAATGGCGTCAGCCGTCACCCACCTTCATCCCCGCGCCTCCTGGAAGCCAGCTTGTGTGCGTGTGCAGTGTAATCGTTTTGTTTCGTGCGCGCGCGTGTGGTTTTCGCCATTGCCGTGGCGTCCTGAGCGCCGGGGGAAAATTTTGCGGGGAGGAATTCCAGCTTTCCGTGAGGTTTTCAGAGAATCCTCCGTTCATCTCCTGCGTTTGCCATTTTGGCCGTCCAGACGAGCGTCGGATCCCTTAGGGCGCCCTTTGGGTTCCTGCGGGGTCCTGTGGGATCCCAGTGGAATCCTATAGGATCCCTATGGGATCCCATAGTATCCATATAGAATCCTATAGGATTGAATCCAATGGCATCCCGATGATTACTTATAGCCCGCCTATGGGATCTTCTAGGATCCCGATGGAATCTCATCGGGTCCTTATGGCATCCTGTATGATCCTTATGGGAGATTATACAGTCAGTATGACATTTCATATGATCCCGACGAAATCCTGTAGGTGTAGGATCCCTATGTCGTCTTCTAGGGCCCTATGGAATCCTACATGATCATTATGGGATCTCCTAGGGTCTCTATGGAATCGTACGAGATCCTCTATGTATTCCGGACGGATAATCTGCAATCCTACAGGATCCCCTTGGAATCCTAGAGGTCTCCTATGTGATCCAACGAGAGTCTCACTCGATCTTAAAGGGTCCCTATGCAACCTTATAGCATCCTTTTGGAATCCTTTAGGACCCCTTAGGATCTGAATGGATCCCGTAGGATCTCCATGGAATTCTATAGGATCATCTGGTGGAATCCGGTAGGATCCTATGGCATCTTATAGGATCCCTATGGCATCCTGTAGGGCCCATATGAAATCCTAGAGGATATCTCTGGACTTTTGTGAGGTCCACATGGAATTTTATAGGATCCTCCCATGCCATCCTATAGGATCTCTATAGAAGTCTATAAGATCCCAATGGAATCCAATAGGACCCTCATGGAATTCTATTAGAGCCCGATGGAACCGTACAGGATCCCGATTGAATCTTATAGGATCCTTATGGGGCTTTATAGGACCCCTACGGAATCCTATAGGATCTCTGTGGAACCTCATCGGGTCCTTGTTTGATTTCAAATGTCGTGATAGAACCCCAGAGGAACCATCATGGCACTCCATCGGACCCCTATGGGATGGTATACGATCTCTGTGTAATCCGATGGAATCTCTCTAGAATGGTATACGATCTCTATGCCATCTTATCGGGTCCTGTGGCAGTCTATAGGATCTGGGATCCCATAGGATCCCGATGGAACGCGTTTGCACTATGAATCCCAGTGAAGTGAGATCCCGATTGCAATATGCTGTCGAATACATTAGGATTCCAATTGCACTAGGATTCCCGTTTTAATCGGATCCCACCCAAACCCAGATCCAAACCCGAACCTCACCGGCCGAAAGTCGGGTGTGACCCTCGCAGTAGTAGTAGTAGTAGTAGTAGTAGTAGTAGTAGTAGTAGTAGTAGTAGTAGTAGTAGTAGTAGTAGTAGTAGTAGTAGTAGTAGTAGTAGTAGTAGTAGTAGTAGTAGTAGTAGTAGTAGTAGTAGTAGTAGTAGTAGTAGTAGTAGTAGTAGTAGTAGTAGTAGTAGTCGTAGTAGTCGTAGTCGTAGTCGTAGTCTAGTCGTAGTCGTAGTCGTAGTCGTAGTCGTCGTAGTAGTAGTAGTCGTAGTAGTAGTAGTAGTAGTAGTAGTAGTAGTAGTAGTAGTAGTCGTAGTAGTAGTCGTAGTCGTAGTAGTAGTCGTAGTAGTAGTAGTAGTAGTAGTAGTAGTAGTAGTAGTAGTAGTAGTAGTAGTAGTAATAGTAGTAGAAGTAATAGTTAGTAGTAGTAGTAGTAGTAGTAGTAGTAGTAGTAGTAGTAGTAGTAGTAGTAGTAGTAGTAGTAGTAGTAGTAGTAGTAATAGTAGTAGTAGTCGTATTAGTAGTCGTAGTCGTAGTTGTCGTCGTAGTCGTAGTCGTAGTATGAGTAGGAGTAGTAGTAGCCGTATTATTTTTATTATTATGATTATTTTTATTACTAGTGGTGGTAGTAGTAGTAGTGATCGTAGCCGCAGTAGTCGTAGTATTAGCCGTAGTAGTAATAGTAGTAGTAGTAGTAGTAGTAGTAGTAGTAGTAGTAGTAGTAGTAGTAGTAGTAGTAGTCGTAGTCATAGTCGTAGTCGTAGTCGT